ACCTTTGGCCATTGTGGAGTACCCATGTACGGTTTGGAGCACCCTCAACTCCAACGTCAACTATCAAGGTCGAGAAGAAGAACTCGCACGACTTCGAGAAGAAGACCGACCTTTTCTGAAGCTGACCGAGGACATCTTTGCTTCGCAGGTCAGCCGCGGCGGACACGCCGTATCAGAGAATCCAGCCACTGCAGCCTCACAATCTCAGCCCGAGATCCTTCGCTTGAGAGAAAGGTGGTACGAGACCACGTCATGCTTATGCATGTTTGGGCTGCGAGGCAAGCGAGGCATGCCTATGATGAAGAGAGTTCGCTTCATCGCCACCCACGAGTACTTCATCCAGGAGCTGGACCTTCAGTGCGACCACAGTCACCAGCACGAACTGGTGGAAGGTTCGAACACCCGTGCATCTCAATGCTACCCACCAGCTCTGGGAGATGCGATCTGCAGAGCTTACTGGAGAGTGGTCGAGCTTGAGGACTTTGGCACGGTCACCTATGAGGACTATAAGGTCAAGAATGCCAGCACAGCATGGTTCGTCGACGTCAACAAGCAGGAGGACAAATGGCGACCCTTGCTGCAGGAAGCTGAGGAGATCTTGGCCAGGAAAGTGCAGAGCAGCGTCTTCGTCACCCCGGAGTCCGACCTCTACCGGAAGATCTGTGAATTGGTGCCCTGGCAAGTGATGAACATTCAGCTGGCCCATCTTCCAAAAGCCAAGCGAGTCAGGCCTGGGCTGGAAGAATGTCATCGAGCATCGGTCTTGCTGCAGAACGACAACTCCATCATCATCGAGACCGAGTATTTGAAGACAGCTCAAGCACCCCGTGAACGCTTCATCACACCAGTTCGCGTGGGCATCTTCATCCTGGGCTATGCACCCGGTGAACCACAGGCACCAAGCCCTCAGAAAGAAGGAGAACGGCAATACGTCGAGGCCGAACCCGGAGAAGCAGTTGGTGAAAGAATCGAGGGCGATCATTTTGACGATAAGTCCCTCGTCAAGCAGAGCTATGGAGGCGAGACTTGGTTTGAAGGACCTCCACTCACCAACCGACAGAAGAAGCTGGCTCCATCGATCGTCAAGCTGCACAAGAACCTCGGGCATCCTAGTCAGCCTGACTTCACTCGCGCCCTGGTCCAAGAAGGCAATGTGGAGACCGAGGCCATCGAGCTGAGCAGGAGGCTGAAGTGTGCAGTCTGTGAACGGTCGAGACGACCAAAAGCACCACGTCCGACTTCCTTCAAGATAGTCGGATCCTTCAACTCCAAGCTGTGCATGGACTTCGTCTATGTGCCGGACGCTGAGGGGAACAATTACCAGTTCCTCCACATCCTGGAGCCCAATGGATCCTTCAACGTCTTCTACCCCAGTGCTACACGCAATCCTGGAGACGTTTGGGATTTGTTTTGTTTGCTGTGGGCCAGCTGGGCAGGCTTCCCACAGACTTTGTGGTGCGATAAAGACGGCGCCTTTGAGGGTGAGTTCCTTGAAAGGATCAGGTCAATGGGCACTCTGGTTGACAACCCACCAGCGGAAGCTCACTGGCAAGCTGGACAAGTTGAGGCCTACAACCGTGCCTTCAAGGACACCGCTCAAAAACTGGTGGACGAGATGGTCCTCCGAGGCGACCGAGACATGAGAACTCTCGGCTGCGCTGTCGCCGCCGCAATGAATGACCGCATCCGGTCATCAGGATGCTCGGCCTATCAGTGGCTCTTTGGCAAGAGTCCTCAAATACCCGAGGACGTCCTCTCCCCGGACGGCAAGTTCGAAGCGCTGCAGGCCATGGAGCTGGACGAAGAGCTGCGGAGAAGGAATAGGATTCGAGCAATGGCAGATGAGAAGATCTCTGCCTACCGGCTTAACGAAGCCGTGCGGACAGCCATACTCCGCAAGTCTCATCCAATGAAGGATGACTACGAGCCTGGCGAACTCGTCGCCTTTTGGCGAGAAGCCAAATATCGCCAAGGCAAGAAAGGACAGAAGGGCAAAAGGATACCAGCCTCTTGGTATCGTGGTGTGGTGGTTGGACCTCACAAAGGAGACGGCACCACCAAGCAGAACAATTTTTCGGTCACCTCCAACGGACGGTGTATCCTCGTGGCCAAAGAACAGATGAGGCCGGCTTTCGGCACCGAACTATGGCCGGTACATGAACATGTTCTCCAGGAACTACAAGACAATCCCCCGCAGCAGTACTTGGACCTTCGCACGGACGAGCTGCCGCCGGTGCCGGAGGATGACGATGAAGACCTGGATCAGGTCCCGCTCTTCCCGGACAAGAAGGAGGAGGAACGAATGGAAGAAGAGCTTGGTGAAGGACCACCTGGAGAAGCAAGTTCACCTGCCGCTGATGCCATGGACATCTTGGCGGAGCAAGAAGCGGCAGAAGCTGAAGACCCTACAGCTACGGCCTCAGACATGACAACACTACCAACCCATCCAAGCACGAGAGCGCCTGGAACTCCGGTTGGACAGCTATGGCCACAGACACCACAAAAGAAGATGAGGACTACACCTTCACACTCAGCACCTTCCGAGGCCGCCCCATCGGCAGTCACGGACCTCGCCATGGAACAGAACCCTGCAGTACCGGAACCTTCCTCTGCCATGGTCACCAACGTCGGCAAGGACTTCTGGCGTGCAGACCACAAACGTGGAGTTTTGGTACGCCACCATCTACAACCACGTCGAGCTCTATATGATCCTGGTCGAGCTCACGATATACCAGTACGCCTGGACAAGCTCTCGAGATTGAGGACCACGGTGATGTTCCTCGACTCCGGACGCAAGATGGTGAGAGACACATGGGTGTCACCAAACTCCAATACGCCCATGGACAAGAAGTGGACCGGCAAGACGATCTTCAAGATCTTGGTGCGGTCCGCCATGGAAGCCCAAGCCGAGTGGCAAAATCCGGAGCGCGTGTCCCGGAAGGACCGGAAGGCCCTGGAGAAGGAGTTGCCTTGGTCGGCCATTCCCGACGAGCAGAAAGAGCTCTACCGGCAGGCGCTGGTGAAGGAGTGGAACACGTGGCTCAAGTACGAGGCCGTCCTCATCCTCAACCCTGAGTGCAGCAGACAGGTTGAACTGATGGTTGATGCCAGCCGCATCCTTGCGGCCAGAGTCTGCTACAGGGACAAAGACGCAGCCACACCTTGGCTGGAGATCAAGCCCAAGGCCAGAATCGTTTGCAGAGGAGACAACGATCCAGACCTACTCGAACTACGTCGAGACGCTCCTACACTCACGAGGTTGGGGCTGATGCTGATACTTCAACTCGCTGCAAGCGGGGAAGGCTGGATCATGGTCACCGCCGACATTACCGGCGCTTTCCTACAAGGAGACCAAAGCCTGGCCAAACGGAAGGAACCGCTTTTCATCAGGCAGCCAAAAGAAGGTTTGCCCGGACTTCAACCAGGACAACTTCTACTGGTGGCGCGAGGCATTTTTGGCTTAGCAAACAGCCCCCGGCTGTTCTGGCGCTTCCTCCGCGACAGCTTGACCACCCTCGGCTTTGTGCAGTCCACGCTCGACAAGGCCCTCTTCATGTACTACGAGGACCACCAGCTCATCTTGGCGCTGGGAGCACACGTCGATGATCTGATATGCGCTGGATGCCCAAAGCGAGCGGACAACATCCTCAACAAGGTGAAGACCACGTTTGACTTCGGGGACTGGCACGACTCCCGCCAGGAGAACAAGATGGTCTACGGTGGCAAAGAGATCATCGTGCACAGTGACGGCAGCGTCACCCTGGGTCAGGAATCTTTCATCCGGGCACTGACTTTGACACCGGTGCCGAAGTGGCGAAGGATCATGAAGGACTCCACCTTGACAGCCACCGAGGTCACGGAGATGAAATCAGGTGGCGGATGTTTGCATTGGCTCATCGCCCAGACGAGGCCAGATCTTGCTGCAGGTACCTCGCTGGCTATGAGCGGAAGCCCTACTGTCACGAACCTGCTTGAGGTGAACAAGCTCCTGCAAGAGGCGATCCGGTCCCAAGATTGGAAGCTTAAGTTCGTGCCGATCCCACTTGAAAAGGCACGGATCATCGCCTTCAGCGATGCCTCATGGGCGAACACGGAGGAGCTGAAATCCCAAGCGGGATACTTGGTCTTTGTGACCGGGCCGGAGGTGTTCACTCCGACTGGAGATGCCGCCAGTTTGGTGGAGTGGAAATCCCACAAGATTCGGCGCCGCTGCCGATCGACCCTGGCCGCAGAGACTATGTCCCTTGATGCGGCTACGGATGCAGCTCTCTTCACCCGCGAGCTGCTGGCAGAGATTTGCATCGAGGGCTACCAGCCGACTCATTCAGGACGATTGGATGAGACCATTTTTCCAACGTCCATGGCCACAGACTGTCGCTCCCTCTTCGACTTGCTCATCAAGGATGGACCTTTGAGCAGCACACAAGAAAAGAGGTTGACCTTGGACATCGGAGCACTTCGTGAAGTGGCCGAAGAACTGGAGCCCACCGGCGAAATGATGAAGGAGATCTACAGGTGGGTGCCCACGAATGTCCAGAGAGCGGACCACCTGACAAAGCTCAAGCCTGCTGCAGAGCTTCGAGAGATCCTGGACCGAAACTGGATCTCCATGGTGGCAGATGAGGAGACCACATCGACTCCGAGCCCTACACGCTCGGCGCTGTGGGCCGCTGCCGCTTGGGTGAGCCGCGCAAGCCTGCTTGGCCTCTTAAAATATAGAGGAATGCAAAGCCGGCCTGAGTCATAGGTCATGGACCCTTTCACTTCAGACCCTCACGACCGAGGGCCCTTGAGCGGATCAAAACCGTGCGTGAGCAGCCGCACCATGTTGCCCCATTTTCCACGGGTGTGAATCCCCGAGTTTGCACTTGTGTGGGATCTTCAATTCAATTGAACCTGAAGCATCAGATAGTCAGACACAAACAGCATCAAGAGCTCAAGTGAGAAAACATTAGTCACATGAGGATGCAATGTTCAAAGACAAAGTCATCAGCTTTGAGGCTTTGCGATGGCGATTCCATCGTGAATCAAAATCCCAGCGGCCCCAGAGGGAGTTGCAAGCAAAGCAGCTTCACGTTTCTCGACAGCAGTGGAGGGTGTTGAAGCAGATTAAAGCTTGCACTATCGAGGCTCAGCGGCAGCGATGGCTACCACGTGGTCGATTGTCACCTCCTCAGACTTGCTTCCGTCTCCTTTTTGGACGCGAAAGAGGGATGATATGAGTTGAAGCAAATTAAAATCAAAAATCAGAATCAACAGTTGCAGGTCTCCCCAACCGCTTAGAGAATCTTTTGGTCTCCCCAATCTCGCTCTAACCTCGTTAGGCCTTGGTCAAACCAGCTGCGTGGACAGCAGCTTCGATCCTGGGAGCTCGATTGGACGGCACGACGTCGTGTTTCTGTAGACGAAGTCGGAGGTTTTCAGACCCGGGGTGAGTGAAAGGGGCTCCGGGTGCCAAGACCCACGGCCATGTAGGAAATGGAATTCGTTATTATTGGAGTGAGATATGAGCGTTACATAAACAGAAACTGCTAAGCATGAACAGAAGCACTCATGCATACACGCTAGACCTGTAAAGTGTTCATCGAAGATGACACGCACAAATCGAGAAGCGATCACCGAGACCGCTTTTAGCTCACGGAAAAGAAGCTTCGCATGGTAGCGGAGCCTGAGAAGCCTGGCGTGGAAAGGTCAGGTGGAGGCTCCTGGGGGGAAGCCATAGGCCCACTACATCCGTGGGACTTCATCACTGACTTGAAGAAGGTCATTGTCTTTGCCACAGGTGGCCATGGCTGGGATGGAAGAGCGGCAACATCTCCAACCTCTGGTGCTATGGCTGATGGGCAGGAAATTGCCATGCGGATGATCCAAGCTGCAGAAGCAGCCTCGCTGGCTGCTAGGACGGCTGCAGAAGCTCTCACCAGGAGAAATTCAGGAGAAGAATCCTGGGAAAAAGCCCTTCCAAAACCAGGATCGTTCGACGCCAAGAACAGGGAGGAGGCGCTGGCACAATGGCGGGACTTCAGCTGGAGCCTCGAGCAGAATCTCTCATCCCTGAACAGAAGGACATCAGAGCTCGACCTGACAGTCCCATTGACCCCAGCATCCAATCCGACGAGGAGAAACAGAGGGCGTCCCTGGTGAAGCAGCGCCCCCTTGCCCTGATCCGGCAGGTCAAAGAGTCCAACGGCATGGAGGCACACCGCCTTTTGGTCCAGAGCTTCCTTTGACCAGTCCTTTGACCATGATCTTGGAGTGGAAGCCCTCCGAAGTGAAGAAAGGCTGCATTTGGGGCCAGGTTCTACGCCTTGAGGAAGCCTTTGCTGAATACGAGAAAACAGGCTCGAGGCTCGAAGACAACATTCGCTTTGCAGGTCTCATGAGGTGCATTGGAGGCCAACTGAAGACATGGCTGCAGCTCCATGTCAGGATTGCCAGAAGCTCAGGGAAGCCATCATCCAGCACGACAATGCCACTATGAGGTGGACGAATGTATTGCATTCTCAGCCAAAGAATTTCCTGCTGAATCCTTCACCTTGGTGGTGTAGAGCCGAGTGCGTAGGCCCATAGCATGCCTGCTGTTGAGCAAGATCCGTAGGAGGGATCTGATGGTTCACCACCACCAGGTTCAGCTCCAAGCGTCATGACTTCGGTGGGAGGATTGTCCCGAGCAAAAGAGCTGCGAGCGCAGTACCTCTTCAATTGGGTCCTGCACCACTGCGTGACGAGACCATCTTTCGTGTATAGAGATGAAGAGGCTGAGGAAGTTGAGCGCTATGCCATGTCCAAAGAAGGGCTTGAGGAGAGTTGGAAAGAAATCGAGGAAGCTTGTGAACCTGATGGAGAAGCATTGGCTGCTGGACAGGAGGTTTCCACACCACTTGCCCCGAAGTTAGATGAGCCGAGCAGAGGACGGCAAGAAACCCCAGCTGTTGGAGATCAATCTGAGGAAAGGGGCGCAGGAGGAGTAGTTCCCACGCTGATTGAGCCTCTACCGTGGGATGGTGAAGAAGATGAAGCTCCCCCTGAAGGAAGGATTCTGAGAAAGATTCTACCTCCTGAGACAGCAGTCAACGCCAAGCGAGCAAGGGTTGACATGCCCGCGGGAGGAGGAGCAAGTTCATCGTCTGCCATCAACAAATGGTTGAACAAAGAGTGGAGAAGGTCTGGGCCGGCGATGAAACTATGCACCATCTCGATGAACCTGAGCCCCCACGGTGATGAGAGTATGGAGGCCGATGACGAGGCCATGGAGAGCGATGAAACTAGCGCACCGGAAGTGGTGGCAGCAGCATGGAGCCTGAAGCAATTCGAATCCCGGGTGCTCAACTTGAGCACCGCAATCGGGCAAACAATCGGGCCGACCTTCGAGCAAGATGGAGGCCAGTTGGTTTCATGACCATCGAAATGGCAATAGGAAGTGCAATAGGAATTTGATGAGAGAGATGAGCGACATGATGCACGAATCCGCTCACTTTGCTCATGGTTTGATTAACTAGGCACAAAGTTTCAACTCAGGTGCCTAGAGGAGGAGTGCTAAGCATGAACAGAAGCACTCACGCAAACTCATCGAAGATGACACCCACAAATCGAGAAGCGATCACCGAGACCGCTTTAGCTCAAGGAAAAGAAGCTTCGCAGAAACATATTTGATCGATTCATGTACGATCATATACCATATGTATATAGAAATTTTTATCTTATGGTAAGATTCCCATTTGCACCACCATTTACCGCCTTTTGCGTCGCTGCACGAGCGCACATCTTTCCTATGCCCTGCTTCATTCTGGCTTGTGGTTGCACTCCAACATAGATCTTGGTTGCCGTCAACAATCTTGCGCTCTAATTGTCTTCCAACGTTTTTAACGGACATAGTCATATATGTATACACACATGCGTTGATTTCCGACCTCGCTTCCCCCAAAGGGCTTTCTATTTGCCACATGCCTTGTGTAAAACAATATTGAACACCAAATTGGTTACTTAACTTAAGGTCTTCATAAGATTTGTTGCTGTTTATGTAAAGGCCTTACTTGATCTTTCTTGTATCAGTATCAAAGGAGCTTGCAGTAGTTCTTTTTTGATGGGCTTTGAGCAGGCCGAAAGTTGCCTTTGTTGTTTTTGCGTGTAGTTGCCTGTTGGTTGTAAGCTAGAACAGACTTTTTTTCCTGGTCAAATTTTGTTGGCAATCACAGTGTTGAATTCCCAAGTGCTGGGTTGTCCAATTTTTAGATAGTGGTTCCTCTCATTTCAGCTCTTTCCGTGCTGATACAACTGATTTATTCTTCCCCATAAAAAGTCTCCCAGCTCTCAATAGGCTCGCCTTTTTCTCAGATAGGTTTCTTATTAGCATTTGTTTCGTCGTTTTTGCAAGCGTGTTCTTGAAGGATATTGAAGGCTATTAAGAATCAATCCAGAGTAAGCTGAAGTTGACTGCACCTATGCTACAGCCGTTTGGGTTTCATGGCAACTACAACTTGCAAAATACCTACAATACACCAAAAGGTATGTAATGGGTGGGGCTGCAGCACAAAGTCATGTATACAGCATGTGTCAATGCAAAGTTAGAAGTTAGCAGGGTTAACGCACGTGTGTTTTGTTCACGATTGATGCAGACAAGTCTACACAGATGTCTCGAGGAGAGGCAACAGGCATATGAATTCAGGTGTTTGCGATTGCCTGTTTGATCAATTTGTTCCAGTTTTTCGTGGCTCCTCATCTTGACTCATCTGGTCTAAATTGTTTTGTGTCATCTTTGATATCGCATTTCTTGTTTGTTTGTGGCTTGAAGCCCTATCCAGGAAATGAGTGTGTCTTTAGATATTTCTTTATCAAGACATGTGAATCTTCAATTTCTTGTTCCGCGTCTTTCCGAGTTCCTCTACCCTTGGTGATAAGCTCGAATCATTACTAATCAGTTTCTCTGCTACTTACTCAGCTCTTCCTGTGCCCCGTTGATTTGCTCCACTGTCATCTAGCTCTTGCTTGCTTCATAGTCATTGTCTTCACACGCTGTTCCTATTCTTAAAGGGTTTCTCTTAGTCTAGTGGCAGTTCACTTTCTAGCTTAGTTCTTTCCAAGTTATTATATACCTTCCCTGAGGCTCAGCAATTTTTGGCATGTCTCGCTCAGCTCTTGCCATTCCCAAATTGTTATTCTGCTTGTTTACTGAACAACTCAGGAACTTACGGTAACGCCTTTTTAAATAGATGGTGGCCTGGCCAGAGCAATCGGCCCCGGAGGTAGTCTAAAATACCTGTTCCAACCGTGTATTTAAAGTGTCTGGCCGGGCCCCGTATATTTAAAACGTAGACGGATCCTGGCTCTAGTTTCAATTTCTCGACTGAGTCGCGCGTGCGGCGCGTCTTGCCCCTCAGCGATATCTCGATCAGTGAGCGCTTGCATGGCATAGACTCCTAGGTTCTTGGCCTGAGGAAGACCACTTGTGCCACTCATCACCTTTTGCTGTGCGGGTGAGGCTTGAATTGGCTGCGGAGATAGCCATGGCGGGACGGCAGGTGCAGGGTTCTCCCTGTGCACTGGTACAGGCAACGCACGTAGCTGCAGAAAAGGAAACGCAGCAAGCACCTCGCCAGTTTTTGGCGCCTACAGAACCCGATGGTTGTAGAGAAATGACTTTGCTTTCTGCCCAGCAACTAGGTCGATCTAGCTTTTCAAACCCTCTCACAGGAAGTAGAACTCATCAAGGACTCTTAGTACTTTCAGGGCTGTAGGCTGTATGGGGAGGTGCCACACCACCAAATCAAAACCACCAGGCCGCCTGGACCACCAAGACCACTTGGACAACCAAGACCACCTAGACCACCAAGACCGCCTGGACCGCCGGACCCAAGACCACCAAGACCACCAAGGCCACCGGGACCACCTAGACTACCAAGAGCAAGGCAGAGGCGGCCACAGCAGCCCAGAGCTGGGAGACAGATGTAAAGATTGCAAGGCAGAGACGGACACAGCAGTACAGAGCGGGCGGACACATCTTAAGAAAGAATTGAGAAGCCCTAACAGTAAACCTTTAGGAATTGTTCTTCAAGTGCGAACATGATGCTGGTCATGCTGCTCAATCAGCGGGGAGCTGACCTTGTGAGGACAAGAAATAGAAGCATGAGGAGCGAAGGATGTGACATGAAATTGATTTTTGGTGCCTGACGTATGCCCTCCGTCACTGAACAGAGATCCAATCCGGTCATTCATCCAACGCTTGCCCGAAAAGCAAAAACAAAGCTGAGAGAGTTACACGCTGCGGCAGGGATGCAATCCCGGAGACAGTCACGCACCCCTCTCAAAGGAGCAAGAACCTTTCACAGGTGAACCTGTTCCAACGGACAGGGCAGAAAACAGAAGTGCAGGCACCAAACCTGAAAGACAAAAAGAAAGAAGTCACATGGGAGACAAATGAACAGAAATGCTACATGGTCAGCAAAAAAAGGGCGGTGACAGATCCGGGAAACAAATAAATAGAAATGCTGCATGGCCAGCGGAAAAGGGCGGACACCAACGGTAACGGACCTGGGAAACAAATGAATAGAAATGCTTCATGGCCAACGGACAAGGGCGGACGGACGCCACCTGAAAGACAAATGAATAGAAATGCTGCATGGCACCAGCAGTGGCGGACCTGGGAGACAAATGAATAGAAATGCTTCATGATGAATACACAAGGACACACCAGTGACAGACCTGGGAGACAAAAGAACAGAAATGCTATACACATGGCCAGCGGAAAAGGGCGGACACCACCACTGGGAGACACATGAATAGGAATGCTGCATGGCCAAAGGACAAGAGCGGACACCAGCAGTGACAGACCTGGGGGATGAATAGAAATGCTGCATGGCCAGCGGAAAAGGGCGGACACCAGCAGTGACAGACCTGCGAGACAAATGAATAGAAATGTTGCATGGCCAACGGAAAAGGGCGGACACCAGCAGTGACAGACCTGGAAGACAAATGAATAGAAACAGCGAAAAAGGGCGGACACCACCAGTCACAAGCCTGGGGGGCAAATGAATAGAAATGCTGCAAGGCCAGCGGAAAAGGGCGGACACTAGCAGTGCATGGGGGACAAATGAATAGAGACTGCGGAAAAGGGCGGACACCACCAGTGACAGACATGGGAGACAAACGAATAGAGATGTTGCATCGCCAGCGGAATGCTGCATTGCCCGCGGAAAAGGGCGGACACCAGCAGTGGCAGACCTGGGAGACAAATGAATTGAAATGTTGCATCGCCAGCGGAAAAGGGCGGACACCGCAAGTGACAGACCTGGCAGACAAATGAATAGAAATGTTGCATCGCCAGCGGAAAAGGGCAGACACCACCAGTGACAGACCTGGGAGACAAATGAATAGCAATGTTGCATGGCCAACGCAAAAGGGCAGACACCACCAGTGACAGACCTGGGAGACAAATGAATAGAAATGCTGCATGGTCAGTGGAAATGGGCGGACACCAGCAGTGACACAAAGGGCGGACACATCTTAAGAAAGAATTGAGAACCCCGGACAGCAAACTGTTTGGGGAAAAACAGGCAGGCTGGCAAAAACCTTGCCGGAGGTGGTCTAATTGACCTGTTCACGTGTTTTAAAACGCCGTATAGTATGTAAAAAACGATACCGTAATAAGAAGGATAAGGGCGACTTGGCAAAGCGAGAAAACCATTGAGAACATGGATAAGAAAGGGAATGGTATTAGTACAAAAAGAATACAATCCTCAAGAATAGGAAGAGCTGCATAAAGAGGAAAACTCATCAAGTATGCAAGGGCTGCTCGATATTACAAGATTTTTTTTTTGTGAGTCTAACCAATCAAAGAAGGGAATAGCCACCTTGGAAGGAGAATTGCAGGGATTGTTTTGAGAGTTGGTCCTGGAGGCATATATTTGCAAAGTCGACTTGCTTGATTTTTCTCCTTCAGGGAGGAAAGTGTTGTGACCAAGGAATTTGCTTCAAATTCACGCATCTCCTTCGCGTGCACGAGTTCCACAAATGACGGAAGAGTCTCCCGACATGAGTCATCGCAGTGGTTTATTACGCATGATTTCGCTTGGGTAGCAATTCCTACAGTGAGTGCAAAGTTCTGTCATCCTGGTGTTTGTTGCTATGTTTGTTAGTTATCACATCCACAAACTGAATGCTGCGGTATGATCAGTCTGGAATCTTGGTTTTACCCAGTGTTGCCTTGGTAGTTGATGTTTTCTCACAAAAGGAAGGAAGGACAAGAACATCTACACAAACAGCAGAAAACTGGAAAGAATGTGAAGCAAAAAACTGCAAACAAAACAGGACAAACTCGGAAAAACATCGGAGTATATTATAGTAGTTTGTCCACACTGAAAGGATGCCTATTGCCGAGTTGAAAGTGCAAACAATCGATGAGTTTCATACCATCGTATCTTCTCTTCGTAGACCAACATGATAAAGTAATATTGAATATACGAACCATTTGCAGGTCATGTGCGTTTGTGCGTGGAATTCTCCCACACGTGCCGTTCTAGTTCTGCACACTCACGGCATCGTCCCCCACACGGCAGTTCCGTGTTCGAAAGCTGGATGGGTGCTATTCCAAGCGGAGATGAATGAAGAAAGTCTCATACCTTCCATTACAACACTATAAGGATGACCAGCCCTTGGACATGAGGATAAACCTGCGGTTGGAATCTTGCTTAGGCCAAATCTGGGTTATTGCTGGCAGCATTTGGGGAAAACCAGATATGCAAACTGTGCCTTGCATATGAAGGTTGGAAATTCATAGAGTGAGATGACACGCTTAGCCTTGCAGCATTAGCCCGACCTCTCACTGGGTGAACTCGCAGAGTTCCTCGCGATTCTTTTTCCCTGGACGGTTCCTGAGGCATGCCGCAATGCCGAAATCACGCTCCAGGGTGGTTCTTGCATCGATTTGGACTGCAGTGTGAACAACGTGGGCGGTTCCGACTGTGAAGGCTTGACGTTGACCAAAGAGGGCTCAGATCCTCGAACAGCAATAGAACAATCCACCCCAAGTTCCATTCAGAAGGTCGGTGCTTGACTTGAGAAAGTGTTTCTCGAGGTGTAAATGATGTACAGGACTGTCACAAAAGGACACTTCATGTGATGGAAATGCCATAAACACAAAGTTATTACAGGACTGCTTTTGACTATAACATTTTGTCATACATCCTTACTGACATGGCTCATGCGGCTAGAACGGTGCGCACAGGTTCAAAGTTAGGTTGTTTCCACAAAGCATTTCGGGACTTTTTTGTGGGTAGTTGCTTGATGAGCATGGCCGCTGAGGACAGCTGCTATTACCAAGGGCCAGAGGACTATCGTCCTGATGACTGCACAGAGGCTAACACGACAAGGTGCGGTGATGTTCCTCGTGATCCCGTTTGTTGTCAGCCTGACCTGCTTGACCCGACAGAGCCAGACAGCTCCTTGGCTTATGTTTTCTCTCCAGTGAAACGAATTGAGATCTCCCGCATTCTGCACATTTGGTGGCACCCATAATCTCGTACCGCCAAAAAGAAGTCCGCATGTCATCGCAGGTTGTGAGCCCCCGAAAAGCATGCTTTGGGACCCGTTTGGAACCCAGGCAAAATGCTATCTGTCCACCAAAACAGGGATCCTGATAATCAAAGGCGGTGCTCCGGTCACTTGAGGCTGTGCTGACTGCTGCGCACCAGTCACCACTACGGCACCAGACATCACGACCACCACAACCACGACGACGTCCAAGAAGAAGCCATACAGTGCCTCGTTGGCTTACTTGACATGGAGTCGACCTAATTTTAACCAAGATGTTCACGTTTAATGCCGCTCCATCGTTTGCGTGCAGTTTTTTTCTGATGCTTCTTGCAAGAAAGATGTTGGAGAGCTTTTTCTTGTGTTTTGCATGTTAAATCAAGACCCGTGAGGTGACTTCCGCCGCAATCGCCGCACTGAACGCCGCAACTCACGTCAGCATCGCCGCCAGTCCCGGCAATACAAGTACAGCTGATGAGTCTCTCAGCTGATCTCATGGTCTCAGGCTGCACAAAATGGTCACGGGATGTATTGGGCGAGATTCGTTCAGAACTGTAGTTGAAGTTGTGGTAGTGTGCTAGGTATTGATGTTCAATGTGAAAGTATTTGACGACAAGTGTTTATTCCTTCTGTGGCTTCAGTTTGCATTGATTCTACTTTTGTTGCCGAGAACTCCTAATGTGGATCAGGCGAAGCTCACATTCGAGAAGGATCCAGATCGTCATCTGAGCACCGGGCGGCAGATCTGTCTCCTCCACTGTGCTGGTTGAGCAAACAGATTTCGCCCATTGAGCCAGTGGTTCCGCGTCGTTTTGTTTCCGCGCACAGTGTAGAAGCCCTGGTCCTCGACCCGGAGACCCTCAGGAGGGACCTTCTCACTGGGATTGCCGTAAGAGTTTTGCAGTCATTCGGCTGGGGCACTGCCGCAATCTGCCGCACTGCCATTTTTCCATAGCCGGGTTGAGTCAGAAAGAAGTGCAAAAGCAATCCCTAGCTGCCGGTTGGCAGTTGAACTGCGCACAGACTTGTTGGATATCGCTTTCCAGCGCTTCCAATTGGAAGGCCTGAGATGAGGCTTTCTGCAAAAGCCGAGATGGGATCTTTATTGCAGCCCTGTACTATTCTGCAGAACCGATTTTGGCACCTTTGGGTTGCTTGTGATTCTTCTTGTGGCTTAAGTATTCAAGGCCTTCATCTTCGGTGGCTGTTGTGCACAAAATGTGCAGTCTCACAGAAAAGGTGCATGTGCTTTGCCAGGGGGTTCTAGGTTGGGTTCCGTTTCTAGTTGGTCAATTCCTTCTAGTTGGAAGGGTGAACCTCCATGAATGTCAGAATGCTCAGAATGCAGGATCTACTGAAGCAAGTCTGAAGTCTGCCGGGTCAACGACAAACCGAAGACGAGAATGCTTGTTCAATTTGACACCATGTCCGGTAAATACTGTCTGAGTAAAAAACGCAACTTCGACACAAAAATGCATTGCAAGCTGATCGGTTGGTCGTCCAGAAGGAGAGTCTTTTTTCACTCAGCCGAGGGAGACGGAGAGGGAGACAGAGAGAGAGAGAGAGAGAGTTTGGAACTCAGCCAGCAAGAAATAAAAGATTGCTGATAATGTTCAAAAAGAATTGCTCATGCTCCAAACAAGAATCTTTGTGCGGAGGATAGGGTTTTAGATGGTCTTACACTGCAAATAAAAGAAAAAGGCAACGAGAGTAAAACTAAGTGCTGTGCTAAGACACAGCTTGCCTCATTTCATTAATTGTTGTGTCATTCCTTTCGGGTTTATATGGTCCAGATCGATGAGTTGCTGTGCTTGTCAGCGCCCTCAGGTGCAACGCCGCAGTCGACGTTCTTCCGCGGTCTCCACTCGGTGGCTTCGGCTTCACTCTACAAGGGATGCGATCGCTTTGGGGGAGGCGATAGGTTTGACGATGCAATTTTTGGGAGTCACAACTGGAAGTTGCACCATGTTGCACCATTTCCTGCAGCAAAACTGATGCTTGAACAGGATTTTTCTGGTATTGCTTCTTTCCAGAAAAGGCCTTTTTTCTCTGCCAAGGCCTGCGTTCCGCGGGTGGCCCGCTCCGCGGCACCGGTCAACGCAGATGAGCCCAGAGCCGAGTCGAATGAGAAAAGAACAGAAATTCGTCCCAAGAAGGAGCTACTAGTAACAAGTGCATCGCTACTAGTAACAAGTGCCTTACTAGTAGTAACAAGAAGCTAACCGAACTGTTTCGTTCGCAAGAAACCGAACGACGAGCGAACGACGGTCACGGCGCGAACGCGGCGTTTCGATCGATCGGATGTTCGCTTCGCTCCAGGGTCCATGTGCTGCGAGTGATCCGTCCAGATGGCTCTGAGGCGTGGGAGAGACAGGCGGTGAAGGCTAAGCCGAACGATTTCGCGGCTTTTCGGGTTGGTTTTTCGGAGGGTAGCTCAGAGGTGAGAAAGCCTCTTTCAGCATGTTCTGCATGTCATCGGGTGTCCAAAACCATGTCCTTATCGGGCTATGTCAGATCATCTTCACTTCGATGTGAGCCACTTGTTCGACGCACATCCGCCGCCGTGCGGCTTGGTACAAGCAAAAGGATACACATTCATGATCAGACCGGTGCAAATGGGTTTTCTTGCGGACCACGCGCATTTCGAGCCTTCTACACAGTTGTAGGGTGTGCTTCGAGACAGGTCTGAACCGCAGACTCGTGGCTAAGCGTGGAAGTGGAAGTGGTTGTTGTGGTGGTGGTGGTGGTGGTGGTGGTTGTTGTTGTTGGTAGAAACCAAAACAGCCGCCCAACATAATTGTCACATGTTGTGGGGAAAAGGTTAGGGATATGGCTGAAGGTTTGAGCGAATGTTGGCTTCGTAAGTAGGTGGACTTGTTGGACTTTTTGACTGAAGTCTGGGCTGGTCCGTTTTTTGTTTGTTTGAGGTGTTGTTCTGGAGGGGGGGTCTAAAAGAACAGCAACGGGGCTGCAGTTTTTGTTTCTAGGATGTGGTAGAGGTTCCAAGTAGAAGTTTTGCAGAGGTTTAGCTGACCGGCTACTACTACTACTACTACTACTACCACTACTACTACTACTACCACCACTATCAGTGCTACCAGCACTGTTATGACGACTACTACCAGCACTAGTACCACTAGTACTAGCACTAGTACAAACACTACCACTACTGGTAAAAGTACTTGTTGGCTGGTTGTTTTCGGGGGAGTGTTAAAAAACAACGACGGGGCTGCAGTTTTTGTTTCCGGGGCTGCAGTTTTTGGATGTTTTGGTGGTGGTGGCGGTGGTGGTGGTGGTTGTTGTTGTTTGCTTCTTGGGCTGATTTTCTGGAAGTATAGTAGGAAGCTGGGTAGGGCAATCTCTACGCTCCTGGAGGTGTCGATGGGGACGTCGATCGCAGAACCTTGGCACTTGTGCAGACAGGCAGCAGGTGAACAATCAATCCTTGCACTCAGAGACTTCGAAGAATGAGTTTTTTCAAAGGCTCCATGTTTAGCAAAAAACAGCCCTTTCAAGGTGTTGTCCGGTTGGCCAGGTAAATACCACCAGGAAGGACGTGGATAGAAGTTCAGGGAATAAAGGGTGACCTCGTCTAGATCTATGGGTGTGTATTGTTCCCGGACAAGGTTCCGGAGCCAGTTCTGGAGCAAGTTCTGGAGCAGGTTGCAGAGCAAGTTCTGGAGAAAGTTCTGGTTCAGGTTCCGGAGCCAGTTCCGGAGCAGGTTCTGGGGCAAGTTCCCAGAGGTGCAGGAGCTGCTTGGAGAGGACTGAAATTCATCCCTTACATATGGCGTGGCTTGCCACAGTTTCGTTGCATGGTGACCCCCGCAAGGTTTGAGAATAAGCGCGCAGACAAACAAAAAAACGCGCGCGTCAATCAGTACCTGGACCAGTGCTATGGTTTCTCAGGCTGCGCCAGCTGTTACAAGGCAGTCTCGTCGCTTGTGGTGACTAGAACAGTTAGTGTGTGTGATCCCCGTTGCTACCGACAATCTAAAATGGGTCTGGTTAGCCACGCTTTTGTCACTTTAAATTTCTCATGTAGTTTAAGTAAAGATGATTCAAAAATAAGGTGGGCGCGGAAAGGTAAAAGGCCTGTTCAACGAAATCATCACTTTGGCTATTCTTACACGCGTGCGCACAACTTTTTTGAGCGCTCAACTAATTTTAGGTTGCGATTGAAATCCCAAGTTAAGAGGATGAAACAGTAGGTTCTTGGAAGTTAAAAACAACATAAACAGCATCAGGAATGAAGCAATAGACTAACAGACCGACGGAGAAAACAAGAGTTATGTCATGAAGTCCTTTTGTTTATGAAAGATCTAAAAAATACGCAAACATTGTCATGTATTGGCAGAATACGGTTGGTTTTGTTCATGACTACACACACTCTTTCAACCTTTTAACATTTAATGACTTGAAACACCTCTGCCGCCTCTGCCCTACTATAGCTGATTGTTCATTGACCTTTTTGGAATCGACCTCTATTCTTGATAGCAACGGGGATATATGTATATATGCAGACTTACCTGTTTGGTTTGACTGGGGGGCACCGCAAAGCACCGAAGGCATGGTGCTGAAACTGGCGCACACCGCTGCAGACACTGCTGCCAGACTTTGCCAGATACCCCCACTGCACCCCTAGTCTTCCTGTAGGCGCCCCTTTTTGCGCATTATTGCGCACATGACCTTCTTTTCCTCACTCAGCTCACTTTCGCTGATGTGGACCACCTGCAAGAAGAAACGAAAACCAGCAGCGCACACACTTCAACAAAAGAAACTGCCAACCGTTTCTTTCATGAAACTGGTAAGTGGTGCAAGGCATTTGTGAAGATCGAAATTTCAACAACACACCGCATCGCAGGACAAAGTGGTCCAATTGCCACAGCAGCGACATCGGTAGACCAATCCGGATTGGTTTTGTCCAGCTGAAATTCCACCAAGATCTGCGTTGCCAGCAAAAGCCAAGCACCGACCAAGCGATCTGTGCACATATGCCTGGTGTTCACTTTGCGAAAATGTTCTGTGACACGGGCAAGGGCGCCTATCATCCACCTTCCTGCGTTCTAGACGCAAGACCAGGCCATACCAGACCCAAGCGCGCGCAAAGAAGGAAGTGCAAGAGGGGACCCCGTCCTCGGTTCCAGCACATTGGTGGTACACTGATCAGCGGCACAGCGATGCAATGGAAGACAGAAACCTCTCCGGATCACACTCAGAATGGCTTGGTTGCCTTAGAGAAAAAGGCCTTTGAATGCCGTGTGATTGTGCGTTCTATACGTGCTACAGTGGTCGGTTGACACATGGTTGGAGTCAGCATTCCAGGGCACTTTGTTACAGGTGAAACTGCTTCTATGCAGGAAGGGCTATGCAGGAAGGGTCACAAGGCGCGGCGTTCCACGCCAAAGGCCGCACCAAAGCAGCTGACCTTCTCGTGGTTGGGTGTGGAAAGCAAGAGTCGACTTGCTCACGAGCTACTGTAGCATTGCGATGTGGACTGTGGATGTGCAGATGTCGGGCGGCAAAGAGATGCTCCCCAAGCTAGATACGCTCACGCTGATATGCTCGCTTGGTGTCACGATGACATGTTGTCATGCTCTGGCATGTGCCACGCTAACATGCTGACACGTCGTCACGCTGAGATTCTGCAGTCGGGTCATTCTGTCGCACTGCAGGCTGCAGGGCGGGCTCCCGAGCAGGTTTGCTGGTTCTTGCTTATTTGTCGTATTTGCACACAAATGTGGGCACATGATATGTGCTATGCCGACGTACTGCCGCGTTGGTATGCTCGCGTGGCGTATTGAAAAGGTTCATGCTTCTGAAGTCAGCATTGCTTGGCAAATGACAGGACACTTGTTGGTGAACTTGCGATAGTGCCATTGCCTAGTAGACGGGTTTCGACGACCAACTGTTGGGGATGTTTCTTTGGTTTTTCTTTCAAGGGGTCTTTGCGGGGCACGTCCTATTTCAATACACCGGCGACATTGCCATATACATCAAGAAACTGCACCATTTTGCTATTGATCCTTGGAGTTGACCAAGGATTCGGCGTCGTGATGGCTGTGGGCGGAGTGCCCGCAGGAGACGTCCTTTGCCGGTGAGGGCACCTCGATTACCTCGACGCACCGAGGATCTCAAGTCAGGACATTCAAATATTCCAGCCCTGAAGTCGAACGATGACAATAGACCTATGGACACGTAAGCATTCTCCACACGAATGTTTGCCATTATACGTATACATGTTTTCTTTGCACAAAATGCCTTCAGCGGCAAAAAGGTGTTGTGTTTTGGATGTTCACTGCGTGGAAAGTACAGTTGGTCATGAGAGATCGTGGAGTCATAGCCCAACATCGCTGACAGTCAGCCCATCTCACGGA